TCACAACCCACCGCCGAGGTCCCGGTTTCATCTCTTTCTGCAAACGACACATTAATTAACCATTAATAACAGGGGGAGTTGCATGCAGAAATCCACACCCCGCTGTGATGAGACCGTGCCCTTGGTGAGCAAGTGCCTTATTAATCACCTGCATTTCGGCACCGGAGCTGCCTCCGCAGCCCTGCCAGACAAACGTCCCTTGAGAGGAAAGCGCACGGGCGCTCGCCAGCCCTAATCCTGCCGTAAAGAAAAAAGCGTTACCTCTTGCTCTATGAATTTTATTTATTTTGGTCCTCTGGGCAGCGCTTGCTGTTGTTAGAAACATGATTGCTTCATACAGTTATGTTAATGTTTGCATTTGACAGAATGTAATTGATACTTCTGCTGCTCCGGCTTCAAAGCCAAATTAGGAAATGAAGTGCTGCACATTAGCTTGTTTAGCTGGTTAAATACTGTAAATAAATACATACAGTGCAATGAAAACTAATGAGTTTTCTTTAAGGCATTTTCTAAATAGCTGGCTTCATAAAAAAAAAAAAAGCTAAAAAAAAAAATGTTCCCGCTGTGAACTCATATCCTGAAGGATTTGTCGTTTTGCTGCAACACGAATTGATCCTGGCTGAAATCTGAACTCTGGATTTCACCTGGAGACCAGGATTTTGCAAGTTATGGAGGATTCATGGTAAGAACTGTTGCAAATTTCACGGTGCTTTTACAAACAATAGTTCTGAGCCTTATTGCATTCAGCAAAGCCGTTTTTTGCAAGGGATTAACTCAGACCTTGGTTATATGTCAAGCTATTCTTCTCAATGCTCGCTAGGAAAACATATTTGTAAGAATCATTTGCATAGGGTATTTCTTTGTGCTGCTAAACCTGTGCAGTGCCGTAACGCTAAACACTGGGCTTTTTCCCTGACAGAATGCAATAGCTTGAAAAAAAGTGGGGGGGAAAATCTGCTTTGGTGTAAAGAGATAATCTGAAGAGATTTACTTGACAGAGCACACTCGGCACTGATTGAATAAAATGTGGTTTTCAGGTTCTCTCTCAGGCCTGTCAGGCATTACAGCAGAGCTAGAGAAGAGCATGCACAGGCTTTGCGATCCAGCCAAGCGCAACGAATCTTCATCTTGCCCATCTTCATTCAAAATTGTTCTTTTCCCCCTTTTCTTTCAGAAATCATACATTGATGAAGAAATGCCTTTGACTGACTTGAAAGCATTCTCCTAAAACGAGGGCACCTTTTAGCAGAGGTAGAACTGCACCTCCACCAATCCTTCTTAATTAACTGCAAATAACCTCAGCAGTATCACCTGCTTGGCAAAGAGATGTTGACCTTAAACCTGAGCTTGCTGAGCTGGCTGTTTCACCTGGCACTTTAAGAGGAAGACGGTTTATAAATTCTGCTGTGCTACTTTAAAAAGAAAATTATTGAACTGATGCCTAAAACACAGCCAATTTATCAAGAGTCGATAAAAATATATATCTAGGATGTAAGATCTACCCCAACTAGGAGGACGTTTGGTGCTGGTTTAGGATGGAGCCCAGGATGCAGCAAAAAACTTCCATTTTTTTGTGTTTTCAGCAGCAAACGGAGAAGGACTGAAGGCTCCCAGCGCTTTTCAGAGGGGCCAGCGATATCTTGCAACTTCGAGATGAAAACAGTGACCAGCTCTGAGAAATACGTAAGAGATTCATACAGTCCTCATTCAAAAGGACTATTTAAAAATAGACAAATCATGACTCCCTCAAAAAGAAATGTATGCATTGCATAAATCAAAGTTCTCACACCCACCATCAAAGTTTAATCACTTAATATGCTGGTTCTTTCAACATGCTCTGAAACTTTGTATACAATAATACAAACGATGGGGTTACGAAGCAATAGCAATTTATTCTGCTGTACAAACGGATGTTGCATTATAATCCCTAAAGCAACACAGAGGCTGTTTGCAGATGTTACTCCAATTTGGCGTTTATTTTAATTGCTCTACAGTGTAGCTCATGGGAAATAAAGTCATGGGATGACCTACACATTCACCTACTCAGGGTGACTTAACTTCAGGGGAAGAAAAAAAAAAAAAAAGTGTTTTGAAAGTTTTCAAGGTTTCACCAAAGCACGAACCTCCTGCAGTTGTTTTAAAAGAATGCATCGGGGCTTCTGTCCAAGCCCGAAAGCATGGTAGGGCAGGGGGTAATTTAATCAGCCAGGATATGTGCCGCATGTATTTTTACAAGTCTTGTAAGAATAACATCAGTAAAGTAACTTGAGATATTTTGGTGTCTGACATTCACTCAGCAAGTGCTAAGAAAATATGCTTACTGCACAGATTGCTAGTTTCTCAGAGTGGGAGTCAAGGTGCCTCATTAAAGTCAGTGCACTTTGCTTCATCCTTGACCAAGTCCCTATTCCCTCCTTTTCTCTTTCCACTTCCCTTCTAAAAGCAGAGCCTATTTAAAAGTTGCTCCTGCTCAAAGAGCTGCAGTTGCTCCGGTGAACAGATTTCAAGCAAAAGGACAAAGTTAAACATGAGGCAAAGTATAAATAAAAATCAAGACTCTCTTCCTCCTCCTCTCTACTTGTGAGTGATGATCTCACCGCTCCGGGTGGATTACAAGGGTGGCTTGATCTCTTTCAGGAAAGCACATTCTCTAACCTTGATACTGCTGCTATTTATACTCCTCTCTTCTCACCACAAAGAAAAGCAGCTCTAATAATCTTTCCCTTCATTTCCAACGGGAGCACCGGGTGGCCTCTGCGCTGCCTTCCAGCAGCGGGGCCAAGCCCCTGCCCACCGGCCCCGGCTCCCCGTTACAGCCGGTGCTCTTGACCGCTGCCTCGGCTTCTGGCTGCTCACTTCGAGACACCCGAGACGTGATTTTCCACCGGCTTGAGCATCACGTTGCCGCACACAGGTGCGGGATGACAGCCTTGAGGTGCTCATGGGGCACAGATGGAAGTGAACGCAGGTGCTGAAAGGCAATAGGGTCTCTAAAATTCAGAGCTGTAACCCCTCTCCCCCTTGTTTATCAGATGAATAGGACACCCCGTTTCAGGTAGCTCTGGGGACATCTCAGGCCCTTTCCACCCCCCCAGGAGGCAGGAGCCATCCCCCATCCCCGCTCATCTCCACAGGGATTCAACCCCGGGCAGAGCTGGGGAGTCAGCGCTCAGCCCCGGGTGGCTCAGGCACGATGGAGCACACCTCGGGAGCGTGGATGAGCTGATCCTGAGGCCAAACCCCCTTTTTTCGGATGAAACCAAACACACTCAAGCTGCATTCCCCTCACGACACCGCAAGAAATGGGGACAAACATTATGAAACCAAGTTTATTAAAACTTTCTACAAGTCAGACTTTATCATCCAGGTTTCCACATACATATACATATTTACAAGTTGGACATAGTGTTTTTAGCTTTTCTGGCAGAGTTTTCTACCAATATATACAAATGTACTGTTTTTCATAGAAGGGTTAAACTGTATCATAGATACAAATGTCAAGCAATCATGAGAGGTTTAGTGCAACGGAGAGCTGTAGCGCCCTGCTCTTAATGCTCATGATTCTGTCAAGTTAGTATTGCCAACAATAATTCACATTAAATTGCTCTTCAACACCTCTTATTAGGACAAACAAAGTACAACAAAACAAGAAAACAAAACCCCAAACAGTAAGGTATGTACAAAGTACACAGTCCATGAGGTATACATGGTATTCTCCAAACGCGTGGTGGGACTGCAGCTTGTCGGGGGTTAACCCTTCAAATGACTTCACTCGAACTGAATGGACATCCCTTTGCATAAGCCACTGGACACAAACGTGAAACGAAGCAGAAATTTTAGGCAGGACTAAGCTTTACTTACCCCCAACCCAGGAAGCTAATGATTTAGATATATTCATTATCCACGCACATTGGAAAGACTATGAATAATCATGCAAAAAAAAAAAAAAGGGGGGGGAAAAAAAACCCATAGCCGGAGGCAAACAACATACCTGAATAATCAACTAAGGGCGTATGGAGATCTTACTCTTAAGACTAACTTTTTGGGGGGTGGAGGGGGAAGAGGAGAGGAGATATGAAGTTTTTTAAGAATTGAGCCTGTAGGAAAACACGACCATGTTTACATGTACTGTACAAGATACCCCTTATCGTTTTCCAAGAGAAGGCGCCCCAGCCGATAGTGTTACGGTTTGGTAAACGGATATGTTTTGGCACTCGGAGCTAACGAGACCCGCTACTTGACAAGCTCGCTGAGGGCACAAAGTTATATAGGCTACACCATGGCAACGCGAGGCTTAAGTCTATTTAAAATGCTTTCCCGGTCAGCGAATGGAATCAGAGGAGATCCAGCTGGGAGATCCACTGGTTTCTGCTTTGGAAGGAGCCACAGCAGTGATTTGTCTTACGGGTGGATCGAGGAGCTTCATGCCTCTGAAAGCAAGATCAGCTGGAGGAGCAGCAGTGAGCAGGCGGCTGGCCGTGGCGGGCGAAGACCTCCTTCCCTCGTTAAAGTGCGCTTACAGTCAGAAAGCTACTTTGCAAGCCAGCCGGCGTGGCACGCCAAGTCGATTCCCCTTTTTACCCATTTCTGTCAGATTTGCTCAGTTAGAGGCGCGCCTCGCGCCCCCCACCCCCTAAGCATCGCGGCCAGGGCTCTGCACCCCCGTAGCCACCGCCGGAAAGCAGAAGGGGCTTTCTGTCTCACGCCTCATCGGCCATAAGACTCTGCGGCCAAGATGCGGCCAGTTACACCGGTGGAGGATGAAAAAAAGCTGCACGGATCCTCCAGGGCCGGCAGGACGGACCTACCAGCAGAGCAAGAGGATGAAACTCCGAGCACGCTCAGGAGCGGAGATCTATGGGTTGGCATGTATTTTAAACAAGGTCACTTTTCTGACCATACTGGCACTTTAAGATGCTGTTGAGTTTGCAAACGTGGAAAAATGAAACCCTACGAAGATGCCAGAGGTGAGAACCACCAAGGTTTTTGAGATTTCAGGGTTAGCAGAAGAAGGAACTAATATCATCACTGTCTCCGTGGTATTCTGGAACAATTTGATCCGAAGTTCCCGTCTCCTGGTCTGTATATCCAGGCTCCAAGACCGCCTCGAACCAAGGGTGAAGCAAGATCTCTGGAGCAGTGAGTCTTTCAGAGGGCTCCCGCCGCAGGAGGCTGCGGATGAGGCATCGGGCTTTGGGGGAGACGTGGTCAGGAATACAGAACTGTCCACGCCGGATTTTGGAAAACAGAGTGCTAGGGTCCGAGTCATGGAAGGGATAGCGTCCCACCAGCAGGGTATAGAGCATCACTCCCAAACTCCACACGTCAGCTGATTTTCCAGAGTAAGTCCCTGTCGTGTTTAGGATCTCAGGGCTGACGTACGCCGGGCAGCCGTGCTTGTCTGAGAGCGCATCATCTTCACCTTTGATGATGTGCGTGTCTTCCAGGCTCTCCAGCCGTAGCTGAGTCCTAGGGAGGGCAGAGGAGGAAGCCTTAGGTTAGAAATAGCAACACCCAGGCACAAGTGAGCACGGCAAGCCATCTGCCACGGCAATCCCCACTCCCCTCCTTGCATTAACAGAAAAAAAAACAAAAGAAAAAAAAAAGAGAAGAAACGACTTTTTAATTTGCAGTGGAGAAGTTGCCGGGACTCCTGGACTCGTGTAATGGAAGCACAGCTACGCGCACCGGGTAGCCGCTCGGCACTGCCTGCTTGTTTTATTTACGGGGGATTTTAGCAACACAGAGGGCTCTCGAGGAACACCAGCAAGTCACCTTCTATCTGCGCAGGTTGCACTGCAACCGCGGGGGTTAGTCGGCTACAATGCAGGGTACGCGCTGCTGTTTGAGGGCCAGGCTTTGCGCAAAGAGCGTCCAGCTGCGTGATTTTGCAAACTGCAAAGTCCAGCTCCCTTCTGCGCTTGCAGGGATCATCGGCTCTCCCGAGTTGTGTATCTTAATTTTATTTTGTAACTAGTACTCTTTTTGTCTTTCTGGAGGGTACCACTGCACCCACCACCTCCCGGGTGCAGGTGGGTCCACCCCGACCTCCCATTTCGGGGGCAAAGGGGAGCTTCGCATCAGAGAGGAAGCCATCGGCTCGCCCTGGAAGGGCTCAGCGCTGCCTTGCAGCCCGCCGGGGTGTAGATGCGTTGGCTGCAGCCTGTCCTCAGCGTGACCTCGCCAAATACCCATTGGTTCTGCAAACGGAAAATATGACTCAACGCAAACTGTGGGCCCGGGATTGGCTGCGGGAGCCCTGAAACTGCACCTGTGCCGGAGAGCCCGAGTCCGCCTGCCATTGCTTAACCCTCTTCTTGCCAAATGGGATGCACATGACACTCGCCTGTGCAACGCGTTATTTCCAAATGAGCGAGACTGTGTGCAATGTAACATTTCAACAAATGTTTCATCTTCTTATGGGCGGGAAAAGCTGCAATAGTTTCCTTCAAAGGAATTACTTTCTTTGCATGTCAACATATGGTTGTTTCTGTTTGAGAGGGGCAGCGCTGGTTAATTTTCTTATCATGTTTTATAAACAACATCCTGAAGAAGCATTTGCCCGGTTAAAAAAAAACCCAAAAAAAACCCAACACACAACAAAAAACTCCACATTTTCTTCTGCTTCAGTAACATCACCTCCAGTTTCATCAGATTAAGAACAACTCCGTTACAGCTTTTACATATTATTTTAGCTTTCTACAGGATAAGCAGCTAGTCAGAGTCAGTTTTGCTGATTAAAAAAATGTCTTTCTGGCTCTGCCACGTGCAGTGAGGCACTACAGGAGCAGCAAACACTCCAGGGAAATACTGAATTATTTCCCTAATCTAAATTTAACAACTAGATTCTGGATCTCCTCTCTATAAACCTAGGCTTTAGGCTAAGTTTTACCAAAGTGCTTTTCTTCCTTCCAGGATTCCCAAAGCAATATTTGACCGTGTCCCGCCTTCCCTCCTGTGCGTGCCCACATCCACGGGCACAGGGGGCACGGAAAGCACAGCCACCGGTAGCGGAGGAGGGATAAAAGCCTGGAAGGACACAGCCGGCCTTTCGCTAGCAGCGTAACCCCGATCAGCCGGGGACTGCAGCAAGGAGACCCTTCCCGAGCGCCGCGGCTCCGCCACGGGGCGGCTGTGCCAGGCGCGAGGAGGGACCAGATCTCCAGCTCCTCACACCTCCTGCTCCCCCCAGCCGGGCCGCTCGCCCTCCCCGGCCCAATGCCTCGGCCTTCCTCCTCTCTCCCTTTTATTCATTTTACACTGAATGAGTGGCACACATGACAGCTTCTGGCACCAACAAGCATCCGAACTATCGTTCCTTTGTCTACCGGAGGGTTTCACTAAACTTCTGCTGAATGAGAGGAAGCTCCCAGCAAGCTTCCTCCCTTTCATCAGTCAAGATCTAAGAGTGAGTGCGTCCCAGTTAGATCCGTGACCTACTACACACGTGATGGGGACCTACTCGGCTTGCTTGCAGGTGATGCCCAGCTGACACGGCCGTTTCCACTCCCCGGGATACTTTTTGTGTCTCTGGATGTGGCATTCCTCCCTCCCCAACTCACCCCAGAGCTGGCTGGTGACAACCACTCACCTTTCTTCATTAGAGAAAACAAATTTCCTGAGCTTGAGGTCACCAAGTACGATGGCCGACTGGTGGCAGTGAGCTACAGCGGAGACTATCTGCTTGAACAGCCGGGCAGCCTCCTCTTCCCTCAGCCTCTTGCAGCTCCTCACGTAGGAGTGCATGTCCCCAAAGTCCTTTTCAAAGAACACATATGCCTTGGTGTCCCCGAGGATGACTTCAACGACCCCGGTGATGTTTCTGTGCGACGGCAGCTGAATGTAAGGCCGGATCTTGTCCTGGTAGTGTTTGAGGGGGAACACCTGTAAAGAGGAAATTAAACCAAAATGCATTCTCAAGGGCGTTGAAAGCAGCCACTCGCGTAGCAACTCTCCCCAAACAATGACGAGGGAGCTGGAGGGGAGCCAGGGCTCGGCAGGAGCGCCGTTCAAAGCGGCTACCGAGACCCTTCCCGTTCATTTTATATTGAAAAGGGAGAAAAAAAAAAAAAAAAAATAAAACCAA